GCAAGGGCGTTCGAACGATTTCGACATGCGCGCGCGAAACACGTTTGATAACATGGTCTGAACATGTTGAAAAAAAACGATGGCATTTTTAAGAAGTCGCAAAAGCGCGCACTTTTTCTTTGAAAACCCGTGTTGTGAAACAATATGTTGTTTATATGTCTTGAGGGATTTCGGCATGCGCGCGCGACGACGCGCGCGTCCAGTCCTAGCCTTTGCAAGGGATCTAGAAAAGTTCTGATTTTTTGTGGACGAGTGCGCGCGCATACTTAATATTTTTTGCCGAAGATGACGGGGGGGGCGATACTGGCATATCTGGGACGGTACGAATTCAGATGTAGGATAGACGGTGGGGGGGCATAATCATACGTAAATTGCAATACAAGAAGGGGTGTCGATAATCTCGGGGGAGGGGTCGAGTCTATATTTTTTGGAAAAGAGAATGATTATGGTGCAATCCGCGGGGTGCAGTCTATGTGGTGCACAATATATGCGCTGCAATCGATTGGATTGCAACGGGGGGGTGCAGCGGGGTGGCGGCGACGGAACGGGGCGACGACAGCGACAACATAGCCCCCAGACCGACGGTCAGGCCCAGACGACAGGCGGCGACGAGGCGGCGACGGGGTGGCGACGGCGAACACCGAGCCGCCAGACCGACGGTCAGGGCCAGTCGACGGGCGGCGGCGAGGCGGCGACGGGGCGGCGACGGCGACCACGTAGCCGTCAGACCGACGGTCAGGCCCAGTTCCTCAGATCACAGGTAGGAGCCCCAAAGTGCAAGCACTGCTTGGGGAAAGAACACCTAAGTGTAAGCACTGTTGGGGGGAAACTAAACACTCTATCTATTCGGCCCGGTTGTTCCTATCATCCAGACCACATTGGCACGTCTTCTAGGACGACGGAATGCGAAATCGCCCGTTAGCTCCATACTTGTGTATAGCAATCCAGACCGTTAGGCTGCATGATGCAATCGACAAACTATTCCTGGAAGAGAAGCCGGAGTACGTGGTGGCCAAGGACGTACCTTGCGCTGACGATACATTCTTTTTGTCCCAACACAGATCCAACTTATGCTGCATGCAACTGTTGAAAGACAAGCGTAAATTCAGCTTGGAACCCGCCTGGCGAAACATTAATACGAAAGCACATGCCAAGAATCAACAAAATTATGACGCCAAGTGGGGATGGCATTGAAACTGTCCGGGGAGCTGTTCGCGGGGGAGGTGCAATCACCTGTGACGAGAAACCCTCTGCTGAAGATTATGGGAGGCAAGCGAAACTCCCAAGAAGCTCAACACCCGAATCTATCGTCGCACGTATCTCTTGGGTGGGGACAAAACGTAAGATCTACAACAATCTCGTTTTGAGCAAATTGCTGCAATGTTTGGATCCATATTTGCTGCTAACATATATACATATGCACGTTCGATGCGTTCCACTGCCGCTGATTGCGACGTAGTCTGGGGAAGCGCTACTCTTTCACATCAAAGGTTCGCAGCGCAAGCGTCCTCAGCAAAGCGGGGGCGAAACCGTTTTCACATATACTGCGGTTTAGACTACTGTTAGCCAGCGTGGACCCCAAACAGGAACTGCCTGCAAACTCTGTGGTGCAAGCTACGTGTTGCAGTTAGTGTTTGCCCACTCTAACTTGGTTTTCACTCCAGAGTTGTCAACTCCCATGCTCGCGAAAACACCCCGCCCTAACTTGGCTAGCGAAACCCATGTGTCGGCGATTGCGACGACTGTTTGGCCCTGGCTGGCGCATCTCTGAGGCCACGCTGACGCGCGCAAGCTCGCGCGATGAGCGGCCGGCTGGTTTGGCGCAGCCGATGCGGCCGCGATGGCGCTCACCGATGGCAAAATCCCAACGCGCGTCAAATACCGCGCTGGCGCGCGGCACATCAATGCGGGCCGTGACTCGGGCGGGCGCGGTGTCATGGTGACGGCGACAAGAGCGGCAACGATGATAATGATAGAGGTGCTGGTGAAGATGATGACGGCGTCAACAGCGGCAACGATGACTGTTACGACGGCAAGGCAACTGACGGCGCTGATGCTGGTAACGCCAATGGCGGTGATGCTGTACACGTGTCGATGATGAAGGTGCTTGAATGATGATGGCGGCAACTGCGGCGACTGTCTATGGCGATGGTGTGATGCGGCGGCGCTGGTGAGGGCAATGGCCAGGAAGTGCGCGCGCGACAAAATCCGAGACCCTGGCAACTCTGCAGCTCAACAACATCTGGTGTTCTCCTACGTTTTTTTGTTGAAAATTTCAAGTTCAAACAATGCTTGGAAAACCCAAATCGTCGTACAATGATTTCGACGACATCGCACGGAGGCGCGCGCGCGAGCGGCCCACATGGTAAAACAGTGGATACGGATTCCCGAGCACTGGGCGCACGCTGGATCAACGCGGACGCACCACCGCTCGGTTAAATGAGAATGCGGGCTCTGCACGCGATGGCTGAAATCAGATGGTGGTTGTCATACGATTTCGGCAGATGCGCACGGCAGAAAACGTGCACGACGTGTGGTGGCATGCATGAGGGTGTTCGATGTTGGTTGTCTATGGAATCCCTGCACAACGAGTGTGTGTGGGTGTGGCTTCGACATGTGCGCGCGTGGACTGTTTCAACAGTCATAGCTTGCAATAGCCAAGTGCACGTGCATGAAATAATGTGGCAGGGGTCAGGGGCGGTGCGATACCTGGCCTGCATGAGATGCACTAAGTTCAGACACGGGAAACGAACGGGGCAGATTCAAATGCAAGCTGCAGTGCCCAAGGGGGGGCGATAAGTCCAGGGGGGAGGGGGGGAGAGAGCCAGTTCTTCTGGTTGGAAGGGGCATCTACACGGCGCAAGCTAGACGGCAACGGGCGGCAACGAGGCGAAACCTTGCTAGACCCACCCAGCGCGCGAGGCGACAACGAGGAGGCAGCGGGGGGTAACGTGGCTAAACCTTGCCAAGCCCACCCAGCGCACGAAGCGGCAACGAAGCGGCAACGGGCAGCAACGTGGCGAAACCTCGCCAGGCCCACCCAGCGCACGAGGCGGCAACGAGGCGGCAACGGGCGGCAACGTGGCGAAACCTCGCCAATCCCACCCAAACCAAGAGGCGGCAACGAGGCGGCAACGTGGCGAAACTTCACCAGGTACGCCCAGCGCACGAGGCGGCAACGAGGCGGCAACGGGCGGCAACGTGAAACATCGACGCCAGACCAAACCCCATTCCTGAGGGAGACAAGTAAGAACCCCTGAAAACAAGTACTGTTTGGTAAAGCAGGCTGTTCAAGAGAATCGCACCACGTAGGCCGACTTCTCTGGTAGAGACTTGGTTTGCAATGCTGATGGGGCAACGAAAGATTGAGCTAACAAGCGAGGGCGTGGACTACCGCAACAACCATGGGCATTTGCAGGGTATGAGCCGCCCAACTATGTCCGAACACACCTCGCAACTTATATATTTGGCACTCCTCCCTCTTCCTTTTCTCTGGCGCTTCGCCATGTGTTTCTCGTTTCCTTCGCCTGGTTGCCGCATGTTGCCCACTGAATGCACGAACCAACCCCCCTTCTTGGAGGGGGCTTCCTTTCCTGCCAGAGTCCTGGGAAAAACACTCACCAGCTCACTCTGTGTACGCGCCGCGCCGACATGGCCGTCATTCGGGGATGGACAGAACCCCCTTGAGCAAAACGTGGTTTAGTAAAAACGACCTCGGGCCCAAACCTGGCGGGCGCAAGCCTGAAAAGTGACGGCCGCGGCGCCCTCTCGCGAACCGAAAACGGACCATTCACTAATCGACGTGTCAGGGTGGGGGTTCTGTCCACCCCCGAGTCATGCGAGCTACCGCGCTCGTGGGCAATTTACCAACTGAGTTTGATGGGCCTGCTTCCTCCGCCACTACCATAAGTTGGAGGGGGGAGGAGGAGGAGGAGGAGGAAGACGAAGAGGAGGAGGAGGAGGAGGAGCAACAAGAGGAGGAGGTGGAGGAGGAGGCGGAGGAGGAGGACACCCTTCCCCTCCAACTTCTGGTGGTGGTGAGTTGACTTGCGAGGAAGTCTTGGTAGAGAGCGCCCTTCCCGAGTTGGGGCCTCCGCAGCGTCTCAGAGCCAACGGCAAGGAGGTCTCGGGCGAGGGCACCAGTCCTCAGTGCGATACTGCATACGATCAGGTCGGGCATGTCCTCCTACAGGCGGGTTTGGGATGAACAATGAAAATTACTCAAACATCTTCAAAAATCGCCAAAACATACTAAACAAATAGTCCCCAGACCATTTTAGTTTTGAACATTCCTCCTGTAGAGGGACAGGCTTGACTTCAGCATGCGACCAGGGCGCACGCGAGCACATTACGAGGAGGTATCGGGCGGGAGCCGACGTCGTCGTAGTGGGGGCCCTCGCCAACCCCCATTGCATTGCGAGGCAGCCTCGGGCGAGAGCGCCGCTCCCGATCTAGGGGCCCCCTCCGACCAGGGCGTCTCGGAGTAAGCTGTGGGGAAGCACAGAGCGGGAGCCGTTGCACTCGGGGCCTTCAGCAACTTGGGTGGACTGCGCGGAAGCCTCCAGTTCGGGGGCCTCTCTGACCAGGGCGTCTGGGAGGAAACTGCGAGGAAGTGACTGGGACTGGGACCCAAGCCCGCGCTCGAGCGGCACTGTTATCAGAAAACATGTAGGCCCCGTCGAGGTGAGAGCGCCCGAGTATTCCACCACAACGGCGACGACGACGATCACGACGACGACAAGAACGACGGCGATGAGAACGACGACGACGACGACGACGACGACGACGACGACGACAGCGACGACGAAGACGACGACGACGAGTGCGACGGCGACGATAACGATCACGATGACGACGACGACGACGACGACGACGACGACGACCACGACGACGACGACAACGACATCCACGGCGACGGCGACGACGACGACGACGACATATGACGGCGACGGCGACGACGGCGAAAGCGGCGCCGGCGAAGGCGGCGGCGGCGGCAGGGCCTCCGTCAGCAGCAGCTGCAGCGTCACCGGGCGGGCGGCGCCCGCGCCACCGTCGCCCTCCACGTCCACGTGCAGCGGCTGCTCCTCGTCCGGCGGCGGCCGCGGGCGGCGGACGGCGGCGGCGAAGGCGGCGGCGGCGGCGAAGGCGGCGGGCGGCGGCGGGCGGTGGCGGGCGGCGGCGGGCGGCGGCGGGCGGCGGCGGCGGGCGGCGGCGGGCGGCGAACAACGCTGGCGGGCGGCCGCGGGCAGCGGGCGGCCGCTCCTCGGCGCCTGGGTGCACCACGAAGGCGGCCAGCTCCCACAGCGGGGAGGCGCCGCTGAAGAGGTGGGCGACCAGGGCGGCGGCGGGCGAGCCGGGCCCGAGCGCCGCGCGCAGCAGCGCGCCCACGGTGGGGCCGGCGGGCGGGCCCTCCTGTGGCGGCGCGCAGGCAGGGGGGGGGGGGGCGGCGTCGTCTTCGGAGGTCGTCGTCGTTTGGGAGGATGTCGTCGTTCTGGAGGTCGTCGCCCTCGGCGTCGTCGTTGTGGAGGTCGTCGTCCTCGGCGTCGTCGTTTTGGAGGTCGTCGTCCTGGACGTCGTCGTTTCGGAAGTCTTTGGGCGTTGCTGGAGGCCTTTGTGGCCACGGCTGGGCGCAGCTCAAAACCGGGAGGGGTCCAGGGGCGTGATGTGAGCGGGTTTGGGCGGAGGGCTGAGCGAAAGCGGTGGCGCGCAAGAGGGCGGTTCGCATCACAGTGCTTCTTGGAAGGCGGGGGGAGGGGCTTGCAGCGGACACCCTGCCCTCATCTGCATTGCTATAGAAGGCCGCCCATCCCGCTCCGCCCCTCTGTGCCCCGCGGGCTCCTCGAGCGAGAGAGTCAAGTGGTCCCTGTCCACGTTCGACTTGACGAAATACGTCGAGTGGTTACGGAAGCCGGCCGGGACCTCCGGAGGCCGCCCGCATGCGGCTGGAGCAGATGGGGCTGGATGGGATGCGTCACATGCGTCGCCGATGCGCCGCGGCGGAGGGCGTCGGGCTCTGGCTCGCGCCACGTCGCCGATGCGTCGGCGCTGCGGCGCGATGCCCCGACCCCCATCGTTCGGGTGTTGCCAGAGGTGCCCCTGGCCCGAGGAGACCCCAGAATGTCCCAGGAGGCCCGACGGCCTCCAGACAAGGAGGAGGAGGAGGAGGAGGAGGAGGAGGAGGAGGAGGAGGAGGAGGAGGAGGAGGAGGAGGAGAAGGAGGAGGAGGAGGAGGAGGAGGAGGAGGAGGAGGGGGAGGAGGAGGAGGAGGAGGAGGAGGAGGAGGAGGAGGAGGAGGAGGAGCAGCAGGCGGAGGAGGAGGAGGAGGAGGAGGAAGAAGGAGGGGGGGGGCAAGCTCCGTCGGAAGGTCAATCACACCCCCATAATACATGCTCTATCCAGAGCATCGGTATGACTGTCTCCTCTGAGAATTTGGGCGGCGCTTGGTGACCTCCCAGGCCCGCGTGGAGCGCGCCGAGCGGAACTGCAGGAGGTACGCGGCCATGGCGGCGCAGACCTGTGGCGGCAGAACCGAGCCGACGCCTCCTCCGCCGCCGCCGCCACCGACGACGACGACGACGGCGGCGGCCTGCCTTCTGGGAGCTCTCGCCCGCGCTCTTTAAAGAAAGGCCACGCTACTCGCGCCGCCCCCTCGTGCGCACCGCCCAGCCTCGACCCCCGAGCCTCGAGCCCCAATCCTCGAGCCTCGAGCGATGGCAGCGGTGGCGACGACGACGACGACGACGACGACGACGACGACGACGACGGCAGCGGCGGCGGCGGCGGCGGCGACGACGACGACGACGACGACGTCGACGACGACGACGTCGATGTCGAGGACGACGACGACGACGTCGACGACGACCACGACGACAACGACGACGACGACCACCACGACAACGCGGCGGCGACGACGACGATGACGACCACGACGACGACGACGACGACGACGGCGGCGCTGGGCCTCGGGCGGCAGCGCGCCGGGCAGCGCCACGGCGCCGTGCTCCTCGAAGAGCGCGGGCGCCGCGGGCCCGGCGCCGCCCCCGGCCGTCAGCAGGCGCAGCGAGGCCTCCGCCCGCGGCGTGGCGGCCTGGCTGGGGCCTTCGTCGTCGTCGTCGCCGTCGGCGTCGTCGCCGTCGTCGTCGTCGTCGTCGTCGCCGTCGTCGTGGTCGTCGCGGTCGTCGTGATCGTCGTGGTCGTCGTGGTCGTCGTCGTGGTCGTCTGGCGGGCGGGCCCCCCGCTATGGGGCTGCTCGGACAGCCTTTCTGGGCTTCGGGACGCTCCAACAAAAATTGGAGCGGCGGGTTTTTGGCCGTTTTCGACCTCCGGGGCCCTCGCTGGGCCTCGGGAGTGTCAAAAAACGACTCGGGGCGAAAAACTGGCCCTGGGAAGGTCCAGACCTCCGGGGCCCACGCATCGAAAAGGTTGGAGCGACCAGACGTCTGGGGGGGTGACTATAGAGGCCTCTCTGGAGAGGCCTGTGGGGAGGCGAGCCCAGGAGCGTCGGCGATGCGTCGGCGACATCGGCGATGCATCGGCGATGTGCTTGTGTCGGCGGCGAGCCCAGGGGGCAAGTCAGAGGGGGCGGGCACTCTCGGAAGGCTCGGAAGGCCTCGGGCCTTCTGAGAAATGTGCTGGGCCTTCCCCGAAGACACGGAAGGCTTCTCAGAAGGCCGGAGGGCTTCTGAGAAGCCCCGCCGCCTTCTGAGAAGGCCTTCTCCTTGATGGGGTCCGAGTTGATGGGGTCGGCGGATCACGCCGCATCGCCGATGCATCGGCGATGCATTGGTGATGTGTCGGCGACATCGGTGATGCATCGGTGATGTCGGCATGAAGAAAATCGGGCCCCGCATCGCGCCGCATTGCCGATGCATCGGCGATGCGGTGTGATCCTCCGACCTCCGCTGCTCCGACCCCATCTGGGAGGCCTAGGTTGTGGGGGAGGAGGAGGCTCTACCCACGCGGCCTTGTCTCTATCAGGTGACCGAATCTATGCCCCAAAATCTGCCCGGGCGTGACCGAGACTGGCGCCCAAATCTGTCCGAACGCGCCAGGCTGTGACCGGAACTCTTGGTTCGAAGCCAAGGCTCAATTTTGGCCACAACTTCGGTCACACCACGTTTTCTGTCACAGCTGCGGGCACGTTTTCGATCACCGCTTGTCTCGGTCACATACCTTTTCGCCTGGTAGGGGCCACGTGCCATGAAGGTACCGACGCCGCTGCTCCTGCGGGAGGGCCCCTTTCACGTCGGATGAAGCCAGCACGAGGAAAAACATCGGACGAAGGTACATCGGAAATCTCTGAGACCCGGCGGTTCTGGAGGGTGCATCGTTGGGCGCCCGAGTTATCTAGGGTAACTCGAGTCCGGGGTAACTCGGGTTTGGCTTCCCGAAAAACGAACCCGAGTTAGCCCTGACCCGAGTTACCCCTGATGATTCGGGGCCCTGATATCGGGCGCCGCGGCCTTCTCAAAGCGTTCCGGGACGCTCTGTGAGCATTCCGGGACGCTCTGGGACGGACTTCTCCTCGCGTGCGATGACGCCCGCTGTCGCTCGCGAGTTACATCAAAGCGCGCCCCCTTGCTCCTGGAGCCACTGCCTCCTCCTCCTCCTCCCTCCTCCTCCTCTTCCTCCTCCTCCTCCTCCTCCTCCTCCTCCTCCTCCTCCTCCTCCTCCTCCTCCTCCTCCTCCTCCTCCTCCTCCTCCTCCTCCTCCTCCTCCCTCCTCCTCCTCCTCCTCCTCCTCTCCTCTCCTCCTCCTCCTCCTCCTCCTCCTCCTCCTCCTCCTCCTCCTCCTCCTCCTCCTCCTCCTCCTCCTCCTCCTCCTCCTCCTCCTCCTCCTCCTCCTCCTCCTCCTCCTCCTCCTCCTCCTCTCCTCCTCCTCCTCCTCCTCCTCCTCCTCCTCCCTCCTCCCTCTTCCTCGTCCTCCTCTTCCTCCTCCTCCTCCTCCTCGTCCGCGTCCTCCTCCTCCTCCATTCATTTCCCTGAGAAATAACTTCTCCCTGTCGCACCCCGAGGCCAGATTTGAGGGCGGGCTGGGCGTTTCGCCTGAGACTTCCTCACCACTTCTGACCCTGAAGCTTAAACGTTGATAGCAGTTTCACGAATTGAAAGCGGGTGGTTTTCAAAATGTGGCTCTCGCCTCAGCACCGCGCACATTCGTTTCAAACATGTGCAAGAGCTTCACGAATTAAGGGCGTGTCGTTTTCAAAATGTGGTTCTCGCCTTAGAGCCGCGCACATTCATGTTAGACATGTGCAAGAGTTTCACGGATTGAGGGCGGGTGGTTTTCAAACTCTCGCCTTAGCGCCGCGCGTATTCGTTTTAAACATGTGCAAGAGTTTCACGGATTGAGGGCGGGTTGTTTTCAAAATGTGGTTCTCGCCTTAGAGCCGCGCACACTCGTTTTCAACATGTGCGAGAGCTTCACGGATTGAGGGCGGGTGGTTTTCAAAATGTGGCTCTCGCCTTGGCGCCGCACGCATTCGCTTTAAACATGTGCAAGAGTTTCACGGATTGAGGGCGGGTGGCTTTCAAAATGTGGCTCTCGCCTTAGCGCCGCGCGCATTCGTTCTCAAACATTGCAGTATTTTCAAGGATTGAGGGCGGGTCGTTTTCAACATGTGGCTCTCGCCTTAGCGCCGCGCACATTCATTTTAAACATTTGAATTTGCAAACGCTTCACGGATTCCCACCATCAACGTGCCAGATACATGTTTTTGACGGGTTCAGGATTTTGAGGGTGCAGCAGTTACGTTGATTCGCGGTGTTGAAGCCCAAGAATCGCGTTCTGGCGCGATTCAGGATCGTCAAGACGCAACAGTCAAGTTGATACGTGGCGTCGGAATCCCGAGAACAATGTTTTGGCATGCTTCAGGGTCTTCAACCGGTTGCTTTCCAACGAGGCAGTTCCCTCAGTGGACATGAACCGTTGCAGAGGCATGTCCTCCTACAGGGCGGATTTCGGATGAAAATGATGAATTAGAATCAACAATACTCAAAACTGTCAAACAAAATTGTAGAACAACCGTCCACATACAATTTTCAAACTGTTTTTGAACATTCCTCCTGTAGAGGGACACGCACGACTTTAAAGCTTGGAGGGAGGGCATATTCCAACATCGTTGATGGCCCTTGGGTTTACACTGGTCCTCTTCCCTCCTCCTCCCTCCTCCTCCTCCTCCTCCGCCTCCTCCCCCTCCTCCTCCACCTCCTCCTCCTCCTCCTCCTCCTCCTCCTCCTCCTCCTCCTCCTCCTCCTCCTCCTCTCCTCCTCCTCCTCCTCCTCCTCCCTCCTCCTCCCTCCTCCTCCCTCCTCCTCCCTCCTCCACCCTCCCTCCTCCTCCTCCTCCTCCCTCCTCCTCCCTCCTCCTCCCTCCTCCTTCCTCCTCCCTCCTCCCTCCTCCTCCCTCCTCCCTCCTCCCTCCTCCTCCCTCCTCCCTCCCCCGGGGCGCCGGGGCCGCCTGCTCCGTGGGGGCCGCGCCCGCCCAGAGCTGCGCCAGGGAGGCGGGCATGAAATGCCGCCTGCCAGCCCGTCGCGCCCCAGGGGGAGGCGGGGACAGGGAAGACGGGGAGGGCAGTGAAGACAAGGGAGGAGGAGGAGGAGGGAGGAGGAGGAGGAGGAGGAGGAGGAGGAGGAGGAGGAGGAGGAGCACGCAGCCTGAAGGGAGTCCGTCGCGCCGCGCCAACGGCCACTTTGCAAGGAGCCAAGACCCTACGGCCTCGTCTCGGCGCTCGCCCAGCGCCCACCCCAACGGGCCCCCCCGATGACGGGATCACGGCGGGGAGGGCGCGCAAGCGCAGTGGAAGAGCACGCAGGAAGATTAGGCGAGCTCTTATAATAAAACCCGGCAAACGAGTTAGGCGAGGTTCAACCAGTGCACCTCAGGATCATCGACTCCGAGGCGTCTCTGACCCGATGTGGATTCGTGCCGCTCGTTGTCGGCGGGGTGCCGACTGGTGTTGAAACGCAACCTGTGAGAAGCAGCGCGTTCTGAATGTGGCGGGGACGGGCAGTGCGAAGCTAAGGAAGACGCTTTGCCAGTCGAGATGCCGCCACGTCGAAGACACATAACCACCGATCCAGGGGCCACTCAGAGCTCGTGCCCCCGAACCGCGTCTGGGGGGGAATGATGCCACCCCACAGGGAAAGGGGCTGAGGTGGACGAGAGCTGGGGTCGGCGGCGGGGCCCCCACCCGCATCCCCCAAGCCGCCGAGCTTTCATCGGCGGCTCCCTCCCGAGCGGTCTCGGAGGATCTCTGCGGGGCATAGTGTCACGGTCGGGAGGTCGGGAGGACGAGGAGGCAGCGGCAGCCGCTGACGGCCCCGCCTCGAAATCGCGGACAGCCTGCTCGAGGGCGTCCGAGGCCGAAGGGGCGAACCTGACGGCCCTGGCCGCCGAAGGCGGCTCGGGGCCTGCGATTCTCGCGAGAAGCCACGCGCGGAAGAGCGGAGGAGGATCGAGATCGAGGTCTGGCGACAGCCAGGCGAGCATGGACCCTCCTCAACACCTGAGACGGGGAAGCAGCTCTACGACGCAAGCCTCCGCTCCCAGAGCGCCGAGCAACTCCGAGAGAAAGGCCGGCCGTGTCGCTGTCTCGAGCGGGTTCGGCAACCGAGCTCGAGGGTAGACCAGGGTCGTCCCTCCCCGACGACAGCGGCGACGACAGCTCTACCACTCCCTCCCGCGGATCCAGACCGGGGGGAGCGGCGTTGGCCTGACCGTCATCAGCGCTGTACAGCGACCTCTCCGACGAGCGGCGTTGGCCTGACCGTCATCAGCGCTGTACAGCGACCTCTCCGACGACCGCGCACGACTGTCTTACGCTGGGGGCTGGTCCAAAAGCCTTGCTCGAACCCTTCGAGGGTCTCTGACAGGAGAGGCATCTCGCCCTCGCGATGAGGCAGCTCGCTGGGGCTCTGGTTGCACACTAGATTGGGGCGCGCCGTCTGCAGCCTCAGGTGCCTTAGCCATCGAGGGGGGGGAGGATACGCTCGCGCAGAGATACCTTCGCAGGGCACGTGCGACGCGCGAGTATATTGCGCCGTTGGGAGGTCCCCACGCACTTTGACACGACACGCAGAGGGCAACGCCACCCCTTGCCCGAGGGGAAAACGTTATGAAACATGTTGCTATCGACAAGTGTCTTCGCCTTGGCTTTCGCTCGGGCTCGCCGACGCTCCTGAAACCTGGCCTTACCAGGGACCACCGTGGCCCCTAAAAACTTCGTGTGGGCTTGGGCAAGCCAAATCGAACCTTTGCGAGCCGAGAGGAACAACAGCTTCACATGCTTAGCTACATCACAGGTTATAGCATGCATGTCTCGGCCCTGGCAAGACGCGAGACCAGCCCATCAATTTCCCCTCGCTTCGCATCCCTGACCTTTCTGATGCCCAAGAACGTGAATGATTTGAAGAGATTCTGAAAAGGTCACCGGAATCCTCGGTTCGTCGCCATATTTCACACCACAGGTCAGCATCAGGACGTCTGGGATGACAACCCCAAGCAGGCCCTCGTTCAGGACCTTGGGGCAAGTCCAAATCATCTGTCTGAATTCTGAGTGGAAGAATGGCAACTCGAAATATCTGAACCACAGCTAGTTTAGCCCTCGGCGATGTATGAATCGGCCCTGGCAAAAGCCCGAACACAACTAGGTCGACCGTGTTGTGACGCATCTGAGCGAAACCCCATCCAGCCCGCGCAGTCTCAGGCCAGTAGAAGCACTTCGCACAAGCTCCGTCTGAGAAAACATCTTCTGTGACAGCGCTCGCGTCCCCGTAGAGGACGCGCCAAACTTCTCGATCATAACGTGGAGGGATCGTCGGCAGCATGGTCTTGGTGAGTAGACCTCTGGCCCCAAACCAAGCTGCATGAGACATCAGGAAGCCATCCTTGCTCCTCCGCGCTGCCGAAGATTTGACTGCGTCCATCGTCCGTAGAATCAGAACCACAAACCCCAGGGGATATGGGAAAGGTCAGCATGATAACGTGAGCAGCACGGGCAGGATGCAGAGTTGGAACAACGATGCTTCGCCCGTCGACGTGGTTGCCACAGGCCGCCAGCCACGACTGCCCTCAGAGTCGCTGCCTGCCGCTTCGTTAGAGCGCATAGGTTTAGCGCGGTCCTCATCTTCCCGTGTCCGTCCCGGCACGCTGATCACAGGAGCCGCCTCGCGCCCGGGCCTCTTGCTGCCAGGGGGCTTCACTGGGTATCAGCAGCGCCTCGCGCTGCTTTGAACAGCAGCTGAGGCAGAGTCAATCTGCTGATCTCACTTCGGAGGCGGAGGAGGAGGAGGGCGAGGAGGAGGGGGAGGAGGAGGAGCAGGAGCAGGACCAGTGCGAACCCGAGACCCACCAGCGATGCTGCAGGAAGCCCTCCCCCGCCCCCTCCTCCGGGGGGGGAGGGGCCGAGGGCCTGGGGCCCTCTCCGGGCGAGAGGCCCGCACTCTTTTGCCCGCAGCAGCGGGGGTCCTCCCCGCGCTCGAGGGCAGGCGGGCAGGCGGGCGGGGGGGGGAGCACGCTCTCAGAACGTGAAGTCCTTGCGCGCGAGTGGAGCGACCCTGCCTGCCCCGCGCGGAAGGTGAAGTCCGAAACAAGGACGAAAGCACCACGCGCGTTCTCAAACCCACAGGGAGGGGGAGGGGGGGAGGGGGGAAGGCGAGGCGAGCGCTGCAAGTATGGCAGTGCACACTGTCGGACCCCGACGGGGGGGGGGGCTCCCTTTCTGGCGGGGGCCCTCTCCGACAGCACACACACACACACACACACACGCGGCCACAAACCCCCCCCCTCTCAGAATTCCACCCCAAGGGATCTGAGGGTCGCACAATTTTTGAAGTGTCCCTCTGCAGGAGGAATCTTTCAAAATAAGCAACAAATAGTCCGGGGACTATTTTTGGACTATTCTTGAATCTTCCTGTAGATTATTTGACTATTTCTTGTTTGTCGTCCAATACTCGCCTGTAGGAGGACCCGCCCGGCCTGAGCATTGGTTCGGCGATGCGCAGGAGTGGCCCTGGGCAAGAGCGGCCTCTGGTGCGCGGCTTTTGGGGGGGGGGACCGCGGGGGGGGGGCCAACACACAAGCGCGCAGGACGCTCCGATCGCACCGCGCTCGGCGATCGGGGGGGGCCCTCGGTGGGCCCGCACCATCAAGGTCACGATGGCGAAGCGTGACTCTCACGTGCAGTCGACAGGTGTGGGTGCTGTTGCCAGCTCGTGGCTCACAGAGCCCTGGGGAAGATCGCGACGGAAAGCGCGATCGCGACGGAAAGCGCTGGGCGGTCTTCGACCTCGGGGCCCGCCCCTGCCTGGCCCCTGGGGCCGTCTGAAATTTGCCCGGCACTGTCAACCCATAAGGTAAGGATCGGCGATAAGGATGCAAGGGCCTTGGACGCCCATGCCGAGGCTCTTCGAGCGGGGATGGCCATCGAAGGTGGTTGAGGACGGACCGAAGAGGACCGAAGGGGCAAGGACGCAATGGTACGCTTGGGAGGACGATCATCCTTACTGTGCGGGCTGACTGTATGGAAAGGCAAGGAATGGGTCAAGACCTCCGCGCCTCCACGTCGTGGCAACAGCACGTCGGAGGGACGAGGGGGGAGGGCGCACGACGGAGGGGAGCACGGGGAGGGATGAGGTTCGCTGTCGCGTACTCGGCAGCACGAACGCCCCGCGCGGGCATGCGAGCGAGAGCGAGCGCATGGCATCGCCGCGATGGCCCTCGGGTGCCTTCTCGACATGCCGCCCGCTTATGGAGAGCCTGCTAGCGACGACGTCTCTAACAATCGTCGCTGCCAGGGCCACGCATCGAAATCGCACTGCAAATGACGGTAAGTTACACACGCTGGAGGGGGAGGGGGGGGAGGGCGAGCGGGGCGAGAAGACGGAGAACGTTGAGTAAGGCTCCCCTGCGGCGAAGGTTACCTGAGGACGACACGAGCGCTGCGGAATACATGACACAGTGGAGGCCAGCCCACAAGAAACCTCCCACAAGAAACCCAACCCCGAGACCCCAGGACTTCCACTGATTTTTGGTGTGGGAACGCCACGCTCTCCGCAGCAAAACAGCCGAAACCCAAGAAACCCAGGGCACCCTGGAGGCAAGCAGGGTGTCCCTTGCCATTGGCCCCCACTGTATGGAACATGTATATCAGAGCGCGGCATAGCCGCCACGAGCGGGCACCGCTGGCGGCGAAGTGCTGTCTGCTGGCGCCTTCCTGCTCACACCAAGTGAAGCGTGGAGGTGGCGAATGGGGAACTGCTGGGCAAGGAGCCCCCCGCAGCCTCGCCGCGGACGGGATCCCCGAAATAGAAGAAGAAGGACATGAGCATGAAAACTCGGAGGTCCGCGCGGATGTCTTGGATCAGCGCTGGGGCCCCCTGGCGGCGCCTCCGCGCCGCCCCTTGCGCGCTCCGCGCGCCAGGGAGGGGGGTCCAGCGCGGATCCAAGAAATCCGCGCGGACCTCCGAGTGTTTATGATTATGTCATTCTTCGTCCCCCTGCGAAAGGAGCGGGAGAAGCCACCTCCCCCCCCAGGCCCCAGCCACGGCAGGTTCGTGTCGTGACGGCCCCAGCGCTGGCTTCTGACACCGCGTGGATCGGTCCACCTTCCACAGTCGGCGGCGCTTCGATCGCCATAAGGCGTTCAGCCTTGAACGCCCGCGCCGGGGTCGCAACCGCGTCCACACGACACGAGCCTGCCGTAATCCAGGCGTCGGAAACAGTTGAGCAACACTCGTGCAGAACGTATGGCTTGAACTCCCCCCCCTCTCCCCTGAAGGCAGTGTTAATCTCGGATCTTATGCTTTTGGGATTCCGAATGGTCTTCAAGGAACGAGCCAACTTTAAATTGCGAGGGAGGGGGTGAGTGCTGCTTGATTTCTACCCTCAACCGTCTGCCCTGACAGGCTCCCCCCATGTGTTCAAACACAGCGCCTGCCCTGGGCCCCGCCCTCAGAGAACAGCCCCTTGATCAGCCAGCGCCCCCAGAGGATCGCCAACTTCCGCTCCAGAGGTCGAACCCCCACATACTGATACCGACACTGTCACTGACACTCATACTAGTCCGCCACCGTGCCCTGAGGCACGAGTTGGAGTGTCCCCGAGTCCTTCCAGCCCTCAGTCCTCAATGATAGAGTATTAACTCCCAATGCGGACCAAGAGGGCCCCAAGAGGCCCCCGAGACGGCTCAAGAGGTGCCCAAGATGGCTCCAGATGGCCCAAGAGGCCCCCAAGACGCCCTAAGAGGGCCCCCAGAGGCCCCCAACAGGGCCCACAGAGGCAACAATCATTGATACGACCAAGTTTTTGGAAGGATTTGGGCGTTGTCGCGGGGTGTCCGACCGAAAAAGCCCCCCCCCCCCTCACCATCTGGAAGACCCGCTTCTGGAAGGGAATGGGGAACGAGATGCCTGCAGAAGGGAGGCCCGGCCTCCACTTCGAGGGCTCCCGTCCCCCGCTCCCCGCGTGCTGGGGCTGGAGCTCAGTGTGCCCCAGAAACGGCAGGGCATTCTTTCCATTGTTTTGTTTGGAAAAAAAGTCTCTCGAAAATGGAAAGCGGTGAACAAAACAGCGAAACGGTTCCGGGAGTGGAGCCTGAGCGGGAACCGGAAGCAAAAACTGCGACATGAGCGGCAACAGAAACATGGACAGAGCGGGCAACAAAAACGGCAGAACGGAACTGGTGACAAAAACGGTCCTGTCGCTTCCAGGGCCCACTAACCCTGAGATCCGACGGTGCAGCAAGAATTGCAGCATCGTAAAAAATCCCGCCTGGAGCCCCAAGCCCTATCTTTCTGCATCATTGTTCGAGCAAGGTCGATGTGTGAGGGTCCCAGGGCCCGAAATCGAGCGAAAACGCCCGTTGTGAAAGAACTGCAGCGCCAGGATTTCAGGGAAGGGCCGGAAGGGATCCCCGCGCCACCTTCGGGCCCCCGGGTCTCCTGTAGCCTTGCCAGCCGCCCGACGAGCCGAACATCTCCACCTTCTCGAGGGCCTCGCCCAGCTTGCAGGCCAGCGGCCGCCGCTGCAGCCTCTCGGGTGCCGCGGCGGGGGCTCGTGGGCAGCGGCGCGCCGGGGGGCACGGCCCGCGCGCGCGGTGTCCGACCCGGCGGCCCTGTGGCCAGGCGCGGGCCCTGCGGCCCATTTCGGGCGGACCCTGGCCGGGCTCGGTCCCTGCGTGCCCTGAGAGCCTGGCGACTCAATCTTTTCGAGCCGGGCGTTTTCGCATGATTTGGGGCCCCGGGGCCCTCGCAGATCGAGCCAGCTCGAAAGATGGCGCATAAAGCTAAGGTCTAGGGATCCAAGCTCGATCTTTCACGGCGTCTCATCTTTTTGTGAAACGTCGGGTCTCAGGGTGGGTCGCGCGTCGGTGATGGTGCCTCGCGGCCCAGGTCCCGCCCGGGGTCGTCAGTCAGGGGGGGGGCGTTTGGAAGGGGGGCGGGGGGGCGCGGGGGGCGTGTGTGGGCGGGGTCGTGTGGAGAGGGGGGGCAGTCGGTGGACCAACGAGGGGTCTGGAGTGGGCTGTGCCCGCAAGGGGTGGGCAGTTCGAGCCATCCGGGGTTCGGCCATGCAGCGGGGGGCCTCTGAGGGGGCACTGGCGGCTGCCTCGGGTCCCAGCGGGGTAGCCAGAGCATGGGGCCTGGCGGGGGGCGCCAAACGCACGTTTCTCCGACCTGGGCTCGGGGCGTCCCGTGTCACACGCCTGGGCGACTCGCCATGACGCAGCGGTGCACGTGCTATGGTCGAGTGTTCTGCCGTCGACAGTGCTGCGTGCAAATTTCAACCAGATCGACCGTGTTGTTGCGGACCACTGTCGTGCAGCCTCCCATGCGGATCCCGGAAACCCATTGCCAGAACACCACCCAGACCCGATTCGTCTATACTCACCAACTCGGGGGAACAACATATCCCCATAATTACAGCTGCTCCCCAGACACATCCTCGGGAAAATTCAGACCAAAGTCCGATGCGACTCCAGCCGTGGCGATGAGGCAAGAGAAGAAACCGAAGGAAGGGTAGCGGTACTACAAGCCTCGTCAAAATACATTGAAACGCTGTTCAACATCGAAGAGCGCTCGATAGTTCGGGCACTTGTCAGAAAACGCGATCTGAAGTGCTGTGAGGGTACTGTCGGATTTCGGACACCCCTGCGTCTGGGCCGAACACCTCATGCCAGCACTGACGTAGCGCCGACCACGCAGGCACCGAGAACAAAAGCACGTCAACGTATGTTTGACGGGGCTTGCAGTACCTGCTCCTCGTGCTGGCGCTGCTGGACAGCCGGCCTCCGCGAGATGGCCGCCAGAGGAGCCGGAGCACATGCGGAGCGGAGAGGCCGCCCCCTCCTCCTCCCTCTTCCTCCTCCTCCTCCTCCTCCTCCTCCCTCCTCCTCCTCCTCCTCCTCCTCGCTCCTCCTCCTCCTCCTCCTCCTCCTCCTCCTCCTCCTCCTCCTCCTCCTCCTCCTCCTCCTCCTCCTCCTCCCTCCTCCTCCTCCCTCCTCCTCCTCCTCCTCCTCCTCCTCTCCTCCTCCTCCTCCTCCTCCTCCTCCTCCTCCTCCGCTCCTCCTCCTCCCTCCTCCTCCTCCTCCTCCTCCTCCTCCTCCTCCTCCTCCTCCTCCTCCTCCTCCTCCTCCTCCTCCTCCTCCTCCTCCTCCTCCTCCTCCTCCTCCTCCTCCTCCTCCTGCGCGCCCCCCCCACACATCGGCTCCGCCGCTGGCGCCTGCGGCCCAGGTCGTGGGGCAGGACCCACTCCACACGGCGGCCGCCCCCCTGGAGGAGGAGGAGGAGGAGGAGGAGGGAGGAGGAGGAGGGAGGAGGGAGGAGGGAGGAGGAGCGAGGAGGAGGAGGAGGAGGAGGAGGAGGAGGAGGAGGAGGAGGAGGAGGAGGAGGAGGAGCGAGGAGGAGGAGCGAGGAGGAGGACCAGCGTAAACCCAAGAGTCATCAAAGATGTTGGAGTAAACCCTCCCTCCAAGTTCCCTCTACATAGGCCCCTACAACGGGCCATTTCCATTGATGTAACTGCTTCGTTGGAAGACACCCGTTTTAAGACTCTGAAGCATGCCCAAACATTGTTCTCCAGATTCCAACGCCACGGATCAACCTGATTGTGGCGTCTTGACGATCCTGGATCGTGCCAGAACGCCAGTCCTGGGACTCCAGCACAAGGAATCAACGTAACTGTTGCACCCGCATAATCCTGAATCCTTCCATAACGCAATTTCTGGCACGTTGAAGATGGGAATCCATGACACTCTTGAAGATGTTGTAATCGAATGTGCGCCGCGCTAAAGCGAGAGCCTCATGTTGAAAACGATCCGCCCTCAACCCGCGAAACTCTTGCACATGTTTAAAGCGAAAGTGCGCAACGCTCAGGCGAGAGCCACATGTTGAAAACCACCCGCCCTCAAGCCGTGCAACTCTTGCAAATGTTTGAAACGAAAGTGCGCCGTGCTGAGGCGAGAGCCACATGTTGAAAACCATCCGCCCTCAATCCGTGAAACTCTTGCGAATGTTTACGACGAATGGGCGCCGAGCTCAGGCGAGAACCACATTCTGAAAACCACCCGCCCTCAAGCCGTGCAACTCTTGCACATGTTTAAATCGAATGTGCGCCGCGCTAAAGCGAGAACCTCATGTTGAAAACCACCCGCCTTTAATCCGTGATGCTCTTGCATTGTTTGAAACGAATGTGCGCCGCGCTGAGGCGAGAGCCACATTTTGAAAACGACCCGCCCTCCATCGGTGAAGCTGTTAACAGTTTTTGAGCTTCAGAGTCAAAGCGGGTGAGGAACTCTCAGGCGAAACGCACGGCCCGCCCTAAAAACTGGCCTCGTGGTGCGACAGGGAGGAATTCAGAATAAGGAAAAGGAATGGAGGAGGAGGAGGAGGAGGAGGTGGAGGAGGAGGAGGGAGAGGAGGGGGAAGGAGAAGGAGGAGGACAAGGAGGAGGAGGAGGAGGCGGATGGAGGAGGAGGACGAGGAGGAGGAGGAGGAGGAGGAGGAAGAAAAGGAGGAGGAAGAAGAGGAGGAGGAGTCGCTCCTGGATGCCCTTCACGACTGCACGGCAGGCGCGGCGCCTGCGGATGCCCACGACCGAAATCACAGGCGCGGGCCGCTCGGCAGGCACAGCTACAGGTCATCATCGGCAGTGGTCGAATGCCCGACTGCGGCGTGCCGATGGGGGAGCCGGCTGGGATTGTTTGAGTCATGGGCTGCAGATGCCTGCAGACGTCAGCTGCGCCAAAGCACGCGCCCACTTCTTGGGGGCACCTCGGAATAGACGCGCCAGGCTGTCGGCCGGGTTCCACCACAGGCCTTTGCTCGGCCTCGCCAGCAGCGGAGCAGACGTGGCCAAAGATCGCCGCGGCGCGCAAATTTCTGGGACGGCCCCTGGGGCGCACACCCCCATCGCCCCGCCCAGAATACCTTTATCATTGAAACCGTCGGATTGCAAAAGCGACCAGCACGTAAGCGAGCCCTGTGCCACCCCTGACGTGAGGGAGCGCACAGCTCTGAAGACGGTGCGGCACGCGTGCCCTTGAACAGAACTCGAGGTAAGTAGCCTGATGAGGCAGACATGTGGCAACAGCGGGTCAATGTTGCAATAGCCTCGTGGCGCGCACATGGTAGTTTGGAGGGGGCTACCAGCGCACTGCGGCGAACTACACGCACAATGGACAAACAACATAATGCAGCCACGCGTCATGTTTTACATACCGATATGCATACTTACACATACGTCGAATGCGGTGGGCTAGCGATGCGACAAGAACGAAACGATTCATGCGGCAACGACCCGTGACCCGCGATACGACTGCGAGGCAGCCGGGACGAGGAACAACCTTGACTCAGCTGTGAAGCATGGGTCAGGTAGCCGTGGATCACCCATGGGATCGCCATGAGTTAGGTGTGGAACCTGAGGCATGACGATGCATTGAACTGGCTTGATGCGCGAAGGTGCCACTACTGATAGACTTTCGGATTCCAACATTGGTCTGTTCCTATAGAAAGGGGGTCATGAGGCAAACGCTGAAACACATTTTCAACCTATCTGTGCACGGTCGGTCTGGCGAAAACGGGCGGCATCAACACGACGCAGAGGAACGTCGTGGACTCGAGCGTTGGGCCTGGACGCGCGCCGCGCACGAGCCACGAGCCGCCCGTGAGACAGTGATGGCCAACACGCGATGCGCACACGAGGCAACTGCTGAGCAGCTGCGGGGCCTGTTGTGCAAAGACGCCGGCCCTCTGAGCTCACTCCACAACGGGCACAGACTCCTCCTCCTCCTCCTCCTCCTCCTCCTCCTCCTCCTCCTCCTCCTCCTCCTCCTCCTCCTCCTCCTCCTCCTCCTCCTCCCCTCCCCTCCCCCTCCCCCTCCCCCTCCCCCTCCCCCTCCTCCTCCTCCTCCTCCTCCTCCTCCTCCTCCTCCTCCTCCTCCTCCTCCAAACGGGCGCGCAGGAAGCGGCGGCCATGCGCGGAATTCCGGCGAGGAGAGCATGGCGAGCTGGACGGGCGGGGAGGAGGGAGCCCAGAGACCCGACGTCGTGTTTTTTTCAATGCGGGGCGGGGTCCCCGGAAGTCTCGACCGATTCCCCAGGACCAGTTTTCCATCCCGAGCCGTTTTTTGAAGGTCCCGGGGCCCCGCGAGGGCCCCTACAAAGGCCGAGAACTGCGAAACAACTCCGTCTGGATTTTTGTCAAGACGTGGAATCTCTTGGGGGTGAGGAGGAGCCGGGCGGTGCCCTGGTCCCATCCAGCACTCCCCTCTCGTGCATGGCACCACCTGCAGCCTCACCCTCCCCGTTGTCAAGGCTGATGCTGTGGTCGCCCCCCTGGGCTGAAGACCCTGAACGGCCACCCTGGCCGTTCAGGGTGGCGCCGTTGGTGGAACCGAGGTCCGCGAGGATCCCAGTCATCATGTCGCTGGAAGAGCGCTTCAGCAGGATGCTGCAGGGCTTGGCGGTGAGCACAAGGGGGTAGGAGGAAGGGGGAAAACTTCTTAGAAGGAGGCTGCTCTCAAAGGCGCCGGCCCCACTTCTACAGACAAGGCCCGCGCCTTCCAAGAAGCAGGGGTACTTCTAAGAAGCCTTCCCCCCTCCCCCTACCCCTTTCTGCGCGTGGCCGCAGTGCCTCTTGGAGATTCCCGCGTCCGCAAACTGGACGTCCGTCCCGTAACTAGCCTTGACGACCGAGCACGTGCAGGCTGTCAAGTGCGATAATTAGGCCAACGCGCGCCGCCGTGCGTCTTCTCTTGAGTAGGGCTGGGGGGGTCAGGTCTGCGGACCACCCCAAACGGACGTCAAGAAGAACCTGTTCGGTCAAGCTGCAACTGGTGCACCACACCCGGCGTCGAGCCAAAACTTTGGACATACTGCGAAGCGGATGGTTGGATTTTGTACATCTTCGTCGGCTTAACCGGCGAGGCATTTGACCACCTTGGCGTCCCTGTTTTGGTGGTCCTGCAAAGGAAGGCGGTCTCTGACACTCGGCCCCGCTCAAGTC